AAGATGGGTAAGAAGTGATTTTATTTAAGTTTACCAGATTATTAAGGGGACCACTAGTATAAAGGCTTGTGATTTCTTTGTGCTTTATTCTGAACATAACAGGATAAGAAGACACAAACTTAAGGCTTAGAAAAGACATGCTATGTTCCAGTTGAGACAGTTTCATTTTTCTAACAGGTTGATTGACTTATGAAATGAGTTGCCATCTGCAGTAGTGGAGGCCCACATTTTATAGGAGTTTAAGAGGAGAATTGTTGTTAATGGCAAGTATTTTCACCTCGCACATTAGTAAACCATGATATTATCAGAAACAGGCTTAATACTGTCAATCAGGAATTTTGCATAAGGAAACTAACTAAAAAATTACCTTGTACAACAAGGCATTTTTTAAACTTGTGTGGCCAATACATTTTTAATCTGGAAGTCAAAGATATTACTTTGACCATGTTTTTGTACCAAGGAAGCTACAGTTATTAATGTTGATATATAACAGTATTTAAGTACTAGAGATCATAACACTATCACATTGATTTTTATGGAACCCAAATAAAGGATAACAGTTATATTCTAAATTTCATAGAAGCAATTTTAAGAAACTACAATATTTGATAAGAAACACTGCAAGACTGAAAAACCCAAGGGAAAAAAAATTAAATATTTGAAGAGTTTCATTGTTTTAGTCAAATGTCTTTTAAAAGCCTTTTTTAACATGGATTCATGTGGAAACTATTAACAATAAACCTAAAGTACTGAAAAAGTATTAAACTCACCAATGAAACAGGGTATAATAGGGTATATAACAAAGATCTTAAAATATATTTAAAAGGTTCTAAAAACTTGTATATTTACTACTGAATGAAAAGTTTATAAACATAACTTTAAATTATATTATAAAAAAAATACTTTGAAAAATCTTGGGAATCTTCATGAGAATGAACTCTTGACCCTGCTGAAATTTATTCTTAGACTTTCAAAAATTTAAGCAAGATTTTGTTTGGGTGGGGGCAGGATGGCTTTAACAAACCTTTCAAGTCATTAAACAATGGGAAAATTCATGATGGAGAGTTGCCAAAGTGATTTCTATTTCAAAAATTTGAGGGTAGCTCTGGAAAAATAGACCTATTAGTTTGACTTACCTTGTTAGCAAAGTGTTAGAAAATATTGTCCAAAATCATTCAGAGAAGAATTTGAAAAGTTGATACTGAATTACAGTTCTCAGTATAGTTTTAGTATTTGAGCATTTAACTACAGTAGAGAAAGCAAATTGCTCTAGGTATCTAAACCTGAATTTTAGCATACAAGCTCTCAGACTTACCACTGAGCCACCAATGAGAGGAGGGGAGGGGCAATCGTTATTACAGCCTTGTTTGAAATTGATAATGTCTCATTCTGAATAGTGTACAAGTGTTTTGGTCATCACTTATTGCAGAAAAGATTTGGGAAAAGTTTTCAAGATGGGTTACCAGAATATTGGGATTAAGCAATTTATACTTCATGTACAAGGATGAACTAAAATTTATTTTTTGGATCACAAATAAATTTTAGATGATTTAATTCCTGTGTTCAAAACTGCTAAAAGTTTGGACAATCTTTCTTCTTATGGGGCATATTTTTGAATAATGAATGAAAATGTTTGAAATACAAATCTTTATATTAAGATTACAAAGTTTAACCTCTAGAAGCCTAGATAAATGCTTGTTCTGAATCTTCTTTTTATTAGTTATAAACTTGTGGAATAGTTTGCAAATTGTGGTGTTTGTATGTGAATGTTATTACTTTGATTGATTTTAAATGTTTGTCAGAGATGTTTATGGCCATGAAGGCATATATTCAACTTAGTTTTGATATTTTGCTTGGTAAATGGTAACTTGGATAGGCCAAATGACACTTTGTTGTTTAACTTTTATGTTCTTTTTGTCATGTTCAGCCATATTAGCTTATCACACAATTTACAGAAATGAACAATGAAGAAAACCTAAATGTTAGTCCTACATCCAAAATCAGATATACCAGTTTGGCAGTTACATTGTATAAGAATGTAGCTATGTTAATAGAAACTACACCACCATCAAAAGGTATATTAGGCTTCAGTTGGTAAGAATGTTCATTACTAACCTAGTATCTTTTAAAATGCTTTATGGATATATTTACAAAAATTATCCCATTTTGAAAGATATACCCTAAGAGGTGACAATTTTTAATTTTAATGGACTAACAAGAAGTGATGCAATTTAATACTGCAGTTCTCAGTTTATTACTAAACAGGTTTGATATAAAGAAACAGAAACCAATGTACACTCTAATAAAAATATCTTGCACAGAATTACAATTTCACTATCAGTTTTAGAGACAAAAAGTAACTAGAATATTAAATGACAGCACAAACATTTATCACTTTCCTTGTCATGAACATTGGCAATACCATTGGTACTAAGAAAAATAACAATACCATCGTTACTAAAAGGAATAATACTGACATAATAATTATGGGAGTGTAATTTTGACACACTGAGTAGAACTGTATGGAGTTACATACTAGAGGGGAGGAATTTCTGTACCAAAGGATTAAATGAGCAAACCAGGGGGTGGGGTACTATTTTAGATTTATTGTTAACCACTATTGACAATATGATTGAAAGAGCCGATGAAAAGGAACATTTATGGATAATTTGGTCTGTTGGTTTGACATGTTTAAATTGAAATAAAATTTTAGTTCCTGATTTCAGAAAAACAATATTGAATCCATAAGATTTATAACCAGTAAGTTGTAATTAAAAATTAAATGGTAATTTGGGAAATTTAAAAAACAACAACATTGTTTTCATTAATGATCAGCTTGTTCCTAAATAGAAGTACAACACAGAAGATCAAATGGCTTACTAAATACACAAGGGAAAAAAAGCTGGGATAAATGCCACAAGTTTAGGAAATTTAAATGGACATATAGGTTGAAAGATTATACTATAAGAAAGCTAGGAATTTGGTTCAAATAGAAATTAGGAAATCCAAAAGAGTTAGTAATAATGTTAAAACTATCAACATGAAACATTTTAAAATGTATAATAAAAGTAAGCAAAATGTTAAAATGGTGACTGAGGCCTTAGAGGATGCTGATGGCATGGTTTTTGTTAAAGACTATGTAATGGATGAGCTTTTAAATGTTTCTTTATATATTTTTTTACTAGGATATTAGCCATGTTCCCAACTCTGATGATTCTATTTCAAATGTTGGAACTGACTTGAATACATTGATATTAATCCCTTGGTGGTAAGTAGAAAGACAGAGAGAGATTAAACATAGAAAAAAACACAAGGATGAGACAAGGTTTTTAAAACAAAAGGTCAAAGATCAGATATATGAGCCCGAGGTTTAAAAATTTCATAATACTACTATTATTTTTAAAGGTATAATTAGTAAATTAGCTTGGTGAATGGCATTAAACTCTTAGATATTTCTAGTTGTATTAAGTTTGTTAAGGTATTACAGAATGACTTGGATTAATTGGTAACTTGGACAAATATTCAGCAAATGATTTATAATAAGTGCATAATGGTGGTTAAGTCACTCAAGCACTGTTCTGTTGCTAGGATAAAAAACAATAAAACTGTTGTGTGTATTTACAGACATACTGAATACAAGTTAAAAGAGGTAATTATTTATCTATACAAATCACTAGTTAGGCCTCACTTGGAATACAGTGTACAGTTTTAGTCTCCCTTTCCAAGAAAGAATATTGACTTATTGGAAAGAGTTCAGAGAAGAGCTACAAGAATGATTTCAGGGATTGAACAGTTATTTTACAGAATAGGTTTTGATCTCTACTTTTTCTCTTTTGTGAAAATAGTAAGAGATGATCTCATTGCAGTTTACAAGATCATCCAGGGAATTTATTGGATGAATGTTTTGGATTTTATGCAATATTCTGAACATAATAAGATGACAAGTTTAATATTTGGAAGAAGATATACTAGGCTCCAGTTTTTTTAACTTATGCAAAGAGTTTGCCATCATCAGTAATAGAAGCTAGCACTTCACAGATTCCTAAAACTTAGAGGTAACCTATTATTTCCTGAAAAATAAAGAATGGAATTAAATTTTATTTTTCTCAAGGGTAAGTGTACAACAAGGACAGCCTTGAAGGATCAAATGGTCCATTGTTATGCTTTACAATGCTATGGGTAGTCTTTGCAACAATTTTTTCACAATAAAATCCTACATTTAGAAGAAACTTTAGCTTTTATTCAGTAGATTACATATTATTACTACTAAGCTTATCATTAAATGGGCAATTGTGTCAGTTACAACTACAAGTAATATGTTTTAGTAGGACTAATGTATTTAGTTAAACCCTAAATTCCTCAATAGATTGAAACATTTACAGAGTTCAAGATGACCCTCAAAACCAAAAACTTAATATTCTCAGTATTTTGAATTCGCCAGTCATTATGCCCATTTTGGCTTGTTTTTAGTTAATATTAATAATAATACAATTATGAGAAAATCAACGGAATTAAGCCTAACCTGGCTGAATTAAATTTAAACTTAAAGGAAAAAACTGCATGTAGTGTTGTAGTCTGTGGCTTAACATATATTTCCCAAGACAAGTATATTTTAGTGCAATACACTTTACTGTGTACAGTACAGTCAATACAATAAAGGCTTAAGTAAATGTTACAGAGTCCAATAGTTACTAAATCCTTACATTAGGCTACTGAAATTCAGGATGTCATGTTATAACAATTAAGATTTAGATTAACGTAACATAGCTAAGGGCTTAAGTTAAACTAAAGACAAAGTTTAAAATTGAAAAGTACTTAAGTAGCCCTAGGGCAAGGCCATAAATTATAAAATGAGTCGGATGCATAAACATCCACTAATAGTAATATATATATATATATAAAGATAATAACATTAACAGAGTCAAACTTGTCAGGAGACGCATGTTTTCTAATCGTATTGGTCTTATCTCAGTATCTAATTTAGGAAAGTCCATTTTTACCTTGTTTTAATGTATCCAAAGTTAATACCACCCTTAAAAATATATATACTTATATAACGTTACGGCTACTGTGTGATATTCCCTAACTTTCACTAGTGGAACCCCTTCGCGAGGGAACCTTACCTAACATTATCATAAAAAATCGCTACCGACTGAATAACACTTCTACTAATGACTATACGTTGATTACAAACAACGGGAATTGGCCTTTAAGCAGTTGCTCTGTTCGAGTATCTCTGCTGATTTCAGTCTACAGAGGTGATATCAATACGCATGCGCAGTTTATCTACCTTGTCTTTCTTACATGTACGAGAATAATATATTTTTTGTCAATATTTTAATAAAAATAACTATTGACTTATTCGTTTTTCCTGAAATTTTAAATTTGAGAATAAGTTGTATATAAAAGATGATATTCTTTCTTTAAAGTACTAATTTAGTATAAATTTTCTCTTTGCATTGAGAGTATAGTTGACACTAGGGTTATTGTATGATGAAGATAAGAAACTGATATTTAAGCTTAATTTAATTCATACAACATAAAAAAATCTTCATTTAATTATTGGCTACTTGTGGATACAGACAAACAAAAATTATTTTACACCGTACCAAAATACTTAATTAGAAGTTCAACTGCCAGAAAGAACAGCTAGAATCATTTTTGCTTTCGTTAATTGACACCGAGTTACTCCGGACTTGAGAGTTGCTAACCCACGTGGACGAATATTCAACTTTTGCTGTGATCGAAAGTTTCAGGGTTACTAACCCATAGTAACTGAAGTTACTCTACCCGTCTACCTAATTTACCTTGCTCAGAAGCAGAGCTGTGTTGTAAAACAAAATGGCGTCTGGCTATACGTTGGTTTTTATGTGTTCCGTTTGCAGAAAATTCTTGTGGTTGTACAGGTTAAAGAATCAGCCATTCTGCACGTGAAAACATATAAGAACTTTCGGGAAAGTATAAACGAAGGTTAGATAGAAATCTTTTGCAAGTTTCAAAATTTTGATTAATAAAAATTTAACGTCGAAAAATTATTGGTGTGTTACTGTTAGGTTAAGTCAGTTTAGCACTTTGGGTTAAACTTTAAATTTAATCTTAAATGTTTTTATTTTATTCTTCGTAATCTGCTTATCTTATATCAATTATTAATATTATTATTACGTTACTACTATTAGTACTATTGTGGTACTAGGTTCACCGTATAACGGGAGTAATAATGGTTGGAGATGGCTTGAATGGGTAATGAAGAAAAACTTTAATATAAGTTTAACATAACAGCAAATGGACAAGGTTTTGTCATCATCATGTGACCTGATGATGACAAAACCTTGTCGAAACGTTGTACATTTGCTGTTATGTTAAACTTATATTAAAGTTT